GTTCCTTGATGTCCATGTGTCACATCAAGGAATCCATTATCTTTGATCATCAAAGATTTTTTCAAAATACCTCATACAAACTCAATAGTTTAACAGTCATTTGTTCTCTTCCATTTCATTCGACTTCCCCCTTCCTCTCTGCAGTGCTCGTGAGCTGGAGTTGGAGGACAGACAGAGTCGACTGCAACAGGAACTGCGAGAACGCATGGCAGTAGATGGTACTTTGTATTCCAGTATAGGCCTGATCATATTGTAACACCAAAAGAAGTGATACGCATTCTCTTTAAATCAATGTTTCACTCTCTGCAGACCATCTGAAGACCGAGGAGGAACTTGCGGAGGAGAAACAGATTCTGAATGAGATGTTGGAGGTAGTCGAGCAAAGAGATTCTCTGGTGGCCCTGCTGGATGAGCAGAGACTCAGGGAGAAAGAAGAGGATAAAGACCTGGAGGCGGTGATGCTCTCTAAGGGTTTCAACCTCAACTGGGCTTAGCATAACAATGGCGAAACGCTTCTGACCGCCAGCGATTCCCAGTTTCACTGCAGGGAGTGTAAAAAATTGCAGAAAGAATCGGTCTGTCTCCCCCATCGATTTTATTGGGCATGTCAACAACGTTTACAAATCCACTCATGAGCACTATGATGTTTACGAGTTCTCCTGGCACGACTCAGGCCGTTTTGTCCCTCGGCAGCCAAGGCATTGGTTCTGTGCAAGACGTTCTCTCATTCAGAATGGGAGAATGCGTCAATTTACAGATATATTTTTATTTTACTTTTTTTTTTGGACTTGAAAAGGGACATATCAATCCTGCTGACGTTGAGGAAGTCTGAGACTAATGATCCTACAAAAAGCCAGTCTTGTTTTTCAGTGAACGTCTGGTCAAACAACTGTTACGTTTTCATGGGTGAGAGACGTTTGGACTTGGTTTCCTATAATGCGTTTTCTACCTTGACTACTGACTGAAAAAGTACAGCTGTTTTCTCTCGCTTCACACTCCTCTCCTGTTTAATATAACACACTATAAGCTTCAGACCTCCATGCAACAGATGAATGAAGTCTTTAGGTGTGGTTCACAGATGAGCATGTGATGGACTTCTGTAATTGACACAGACACCCATCAGTGACCGACACGTGTTGTGTTTGTAGCATTGACAATTGTACAATTTTCAAATCTGTCAGTAGCCACCTGATATTAGAGATATCGGTGTACGCTGAGAGCGCAACTGTCTCGATGTTACATACGTCACTGATGTTGGTTTCCATTTGTCTTGAATGGCGTTACCACACATATATCCTAAAATCAGTTTACAATCATTTATAATCCATGATGAATATCTGATACTTGTACTATAGTTTACATAAAGCAGTGGAGTATATATTAGTATATAAACTTCCTCAGTGCAGATAGTTACATATAGAATATACATATACACCCAATATGCATTGATATACAATCAAATGCATTATGCATTTTGTTGGTTGGTCAGTGGTTTCAAGAACAGTTAAGACCAGCCACAGCATTTCTGACTTTATTTAGCATCAAATCAGATGGAGAAATGGTGTCCAGTTTCCCATTTAATTATCTGCCACCAAGGTTTGGTGTCGATCTTTCCACATCCTCCAGGTTTGGAGCAACATGCCTTTTTTAACTTCTCATGCAACAGCTCTTCACATCCACAGTTTTTTCTTATCTTTGCAGAGTGTGTTATTTATAATTGTCTTTGTCAAGTTTTATATCACATGAAAACGTTCCAGCACTGTCGACCGACACCAGTGCTGATTAACAGCGGGAGCTCGTAGTTATGCTCGAAACATCAATATCGCAAATGAACATGCCTTTTTCCTAAGTGTACATTTCATTTTAGTCACCGTTATGCTGTATAGATGGGCACAGATATTTTTTCTTTTCGTTTGTTTTCCTTGTAAGTACAGATAACTGTGAATGAAAACCTACACATGTTCAACGATAGTTATTTAGACTGTAAAATGTTTGACAGATTTTATGGTATATTTATTAACATGTGTGAAAAATGTATTATATGTAAAGTAAATGAATCCTAATTTTTAAAAATATGTTGTTGGCTCTTGAAAATGCTTCATGTTGCTAATTTGCATATAGGGTATTGGATGTATGCAGAGGCAATAAAACAATGCAGTTGTTACAAATGAAGACTACTGTGCTCCAAAGGGGTTTTCTACAGACATTTGCACTACTTAATTTGCAGGCTTTATTCACATTTACTCAAGCTTTTTTTAACTTAAGAAATGTTGGTCAGCTTTCAAAAGCTAACCCATTAAGATTGTAATATTTGCATATGAATTTTGAAGTCTCTCTTTAAAAAAAACCCAGTCTATTTGCATTATGAATTGTGATTTAGTCTTCTTCCTTGCATTATTTGCATGGTCAATTTTATTTATTTATTTTACATATATTTATCCATTTAGCATTTCAGTGTTGGTCTGTATAGTTTTTACCTAGAACTTTACCACTATTCATTTGCAGCTTTGTTTTACTGGTGTTGGCTTCAGGAAATGGAATTCTTTCAAATCCATTAAGCATATCTTTTCAGACTTTAAAACACAATAAAATACATATACAAGGGAAACTGTACCAAATCTTTACCTTTGGAAGTAGGGAACGTGCAAAAATTATTTTGCTTTATGCAGCACAATATCCCACCTCCGATTTTCACGTTGGCGCAGTGTAAACGTTATCCCTGTGCCGCTGCACTCACTGTCAGGAGAAGACGATTGCTGTGTCTCATTTAGAAGGCTGCTACCTCCGGAGGGTGCAGCATTCTAAATGAGACGCAGCTAATGGCGGTG